GGAGCTCTGAAAAGACAGAGCTTCAGTAGCTCCCTCAGTGGGCCCTCTCTTCAATGCATAAATGCAGGAATCATTGATTTGATCCACCTCAAAATTCCAGCTGTTGTAACCACAAAAGCCAGTGTTAGTGATATAGGGAATGATTATCTGAAGGCAAATTTGGTGCTGATGGTGCCAACCATTGATGAGCCCACTGTCTGTGTGGCTCAGGGCAGTGACCATCACCTGTACCCTCCAAAGGCATTGTGAGTGTTGCTGGTGATTCCAGCCCCTTGGTGCCAATGACCACATTGCATCTATAAATGTCAAGGTTCTATTAGGATGAAAAATAGACGTGAGCAGGGTGGGAAGAAAATAAAGCTAGTACAGCCCACTAAAGAGGACTCAAAGAATTAAGCTGATAAAACCAGGAGCCAGAAAGGACTGTCTTGCCCATGAGTTTCAGCCCCGGGCAAGTTCGCTCTGGATTCGATGTGACCAAAGAAATTGACAGCAAAACATTCTTTGCGGTGAAAGGGTTTATTATCCAGCTTGTTCTCCCAGTGGTAGGTCAAGCACTAGCGTTTCTGCCTCCACCTAGAGCGCTGGTGGAGGTCTCTATATAGCACAATAATAGTTTATTGCCTAAAGGTGTGGAAGCAGTAGCCTAGCAACAGGCCAGGTATATCATCAGGTGGTTTAAGTTCAGTGAGGATCCTGGCCACAGGAACCCCAACTTCCCCACAGGACTCGCAGAGTTGATGAGTTAATTAGTTGAAGTTTCAAAAGCCAGGAACAACTTAGAATGTCTGGATATTACCCAGATAAAGAAAAGTAAGGGAGTGCAGCCCATGTCTTCATTGTATCAATTAGATCATGTCATTGTAAAATCTACTTAGCCTGCCTGCAAAAGGCCCAGCTTATTCCTTAACTTAACCTTTGTAGTTTTCTTTCTCTTCGTCCAGCCCCTTAAACAAGTAACTTTGTAACCAGGGAAGGACACAGACCTCCAAAGTGTAAATAAACCTTTGTGGACAAAGAATGCTGAGACTCAGTCACCTGAATATCCCTATTCTTAAGACAAAACCTCTAAGGAACAATGAATCACCTGTATATATCATGCCCTATGCTAACTCCTACTCAAAAAGCCCTATAAAATCCCAGGCCCTAAACCCTTAAATTCACCTCCTCTCTGAGGTTGCCTGTACTCATTTTTCTTCAAGTGTGTCTGTCACTCTGTTCTACTCCAGATAAGCAGGGAGGGGCTGCTAAGAACTCTACTTGGGCTTGCAAATTCCCATCACCTGGGTGCCCCAGACGGAATGCAGCTAAACAGTCATGCCCCTTAGTAGCCTGCCTGAAAATCTATTTTCTTTGCCTTTGGGAATTTCTCAAAACATAATTAATCTTACTCCATCCAGTGCTCTGTGGCACCCCCAAATCCTGGGGTGGTAGGGACTTAGTTCCCATACCATGCAGATTCATGTGGACACTGGATGCCAAGTGACTGGCTTTAGGAGTTGCCAGGGGGTGTGCCCAAGCCGAGCAGGAGTTCGCTGAGCTGCCCTTCCCTCCCCCTGGTTTTCCCTCCTCTCTGCTTTATTCAAGTAAACCTGCCTTTGCCTACCTTGACCCTGGCCCACTCCTCCTGTTCAAATAAAACTCTGATTCTGCTTCATTACTGTGTCTCTGCCTTGCAATTCTTTGTTGCAGCAGGGAAAAGAACCAAGGAGAATAAAACTGAACCCCAACAGTTCAGGAGCTGATTTCGACATACAATCCAATGACTCCCTTCACGGCTCAATTCCCTCACACAAAATCTACCAAATCCCTGATGACTTAAACCTTACATCTTTTAGTTCCTCCTTTACCCCCACAATCCCACCATTTTATGATTCTGTCATACTGGGCAGGATGATAATTTGAGTGAAATATCTGTTACCAGAATTGTAATACTTTATATCAATGACCTATTGCTTCAATTATTTTCCCTTGTAATTCTTTATTAGATGTCTCCTCATTCTCCCACATGAAAGACAAGTGCCTGCCCTAAACCACTAGTCTTCCAGACATGTCTGAATGCTGGGATAAACACAGCACAGGCTCAAGCTAGTGATCCCCTTTCACCCAGTCCCAACATCACAATCTTAAATATTTACTCCTTTCTGATATTTTTTTATTTTTCCCCTGCTTCCCTATGTTGATTGTCAGTGAAGTTCCTTATGAGTAAATAAGAACAAGTGACTATTTCTAAGAACATTAAAAGAATAACTTTCATACTCTCCCATGTGTATTTCTGCATTGCTCAAATGAGAGTACATCCTGTTTCTATACTTTTAGAAATATAAAAAATAGATAAAAACACAAAGATACAATAGCCAGAAATAAAGAAGGGAAGAATCTTTAGAAGACAGGGAGACTGATGACAGCCTCTGAGTGAAAAGAAAGGAGGCTGAATGCTGGGACTGAGGTCTGGGCAGCAGTTTACAGTCCATCAGCAGAAATGACCCTGCTCATCCCCCCACACCTTCTTTCCCACCCTCATCAACTCTTTCCTTACATTCTTTTTAGACCAAAGTCCCTATATTCTGCATCTAAAAAGGACTAATTCTTCCCTTCTTTCCTGTTTAAGCAAATAACATGTATGTGCATGAGCCTGGAAACCATATTTACAATGAAGAGGATGCAGTACTCAGGCGAGAGTGCCCTTACTATCACCTCCTGGAACACTGTGTTCATGGAGCAGCACAGTTAAATACAAAAAAACAAAACCCATAGAATGGCAAACAGACCTGAGTTTTCTGCCCTCCAGGGAAGTCCTGTTTGCCCTAGGCAATTTGAAAAACATTAAGAAAGAAAATGATGAAAAGACACTCTGCTAACCAAATGAAAATTGAAAAAAATCATTATATGCTAGAGTTTAGAGGAATCTCAACACTGTAAGTACATCACAATAATGTCCCATTCTTACTCTCCCCGTATCCACAACCTTTACATATGATTTCGCAGTCCCTCCTCCCACCAAAGGCACCAAAGGTATTTCACCACCTTTTGCTATGGGTTCACCACATGATTTGCTTTGGTTAATTGAATGTTAACAGGAAAAACATTTGCCCTATTCTCTGTCTGCTACAGCATGAGAAGATGCCTGCTGCTGAGGAGGGTTAGAGACGTGTGGAGCCAAGCCATTCAGAAGCACCCAGTTTGTGTCACATCCTCAGATGCCCAGCAGATTTGTGAACTAGGTAAAATATTACTGTATTCTCCTAAGATTCTGTGGTTGATTGTGGCCATGTATTAGTTTAACTGTGCCCTAAAACTTCAAGTCACTTAATTTATACATCAGAACACTGGATCCCATGGGTGGACCATACCCACAGTAGTGGGAGGGCTGGGCGTTTAGCCCTGAAACAGAACCTCAAAGTTGTACTCCAAGCTCAGATACTTGTGGCCACATGGGCACTGGAAAGCCAGTAAACTGAATCTCAGTGTTTCATCTGTAAATAGAGGTAATATATGTCTTAGAGAAATAACAAGACTTTCTGGGCTAAGATAATCCATGTGAAAACACCTTGTGAAAAAGGGAGAAAGAAGCTTAAATGTTTAATGCTGAATATATGCCAAAAAGATGATTAAATCTTTATTTACTTGCATCATTTTTATCTTATTTCATCTTTTTAACACCTACCTTTAATAAGGTAGATGTTCATTCAATTATTGACCAGGCGATAATTAATCTGCTTACTCTGAGCCAAGCCTTATGCACATTTAATGGATGAGCAAATTGAGATGAAGAGAACTTCAGTAACTGACCCACGTAACTTAACCTCACAGTATGTGTGGCATGTTTTTATTAATCAGCAGGTAGCCAGATTGATAGTAGGTCAGGAGAACTGTCAGTCAGCAAAATAAATAAATTTCTGCTATAGGTCACCAAGAAACAGGCTGTGAAGTTATTCAAATTAGAATGGCTGCTTTTATAACTTGGATTTGAAAATTGCATCAGAAACATCTTTGTTTCTGCAGTCCAAGGTGTCGTGATAATATACACCATACCACCTGCCATTAGCAGTCACCCTGGAGTGCAATGAGATGTTCACAACAGGAGACACAGAGAGGTTTTCTAGATCATCACCAATCATGGTATGTTCATGGAAAGGACAGACATGAGTGGAGTAAACTCCACAGGAGATTAAATGTTCACATGATATGGCTCCACTGTGTTACTCTGCTCTTGAAAATATGAGTTGAAAATTTTATTCCCTTAGGTTTGCATATATTTTAGTGTCCAAAATCTCCAACACTCAACCCAGGGCATGGTGAATTGGTGCTACATCTTTAAAACCGGTGGCAGAATTAGACAGTTTTGCATGCCAGCTCTTTAATGTCAGAATACCAAGTTTATTCAGTGTGGCAGTCTGCCCAGTCAAGGACTATATTCCTTTCCTGAGGCTGGGGTGGCAGTTTCAACAACAATAAATGTACCCAAATATTGTGTGAACACATTTCATTGTTTCCTTAACAAAGGAGATTTTTTCATTATCATGCTGCCTGGAATATGCATGTGATGTCTGGAATTCTTTTCACAGTTTTGCACCACAAAGACAAAGGTCATATTGTAAGGATATAAGAACAGAGAACAGGAAGGAGCCCAGATCCTAATAATTTTTAGGAATTGCCGTGCCATTTCTGAACAGCCTCTTAGCACTACAGGTTTCCTGAAACAGACAAATCTAGCTTTACATAAACTGGTTTCGACGTATTTCCACGTTTGTTGTCAGTCAACCTGAGTTCTGCAAGTGTTTAAGAATTCATAGATGCCTACCAAATGTATTTTTTTTAAATATATTCATTGAAAAGTATACCTTACATACATTTTGTAAATACTCCCAATGCCATTATTTACTCTTAGTTTTGCTCTTTTTTTTTGGAGAGGGCATCTCTCATACTTATTGATCAAATTGTTGTTAACAACAATAAAATTCTGTATAGGGGACTCAACGCACAATCATTAATCAACCCCAAGCCTAATTCTCAACAGTCTCCAATTTTCTGAAACATGATGAACAAGTTCTTACATGGTGAACAAATTCTTACATAGTGAATACGTTCTTACATGGTGAACAGTGCAAGGGCACTCATATCACAGAAACTTACAGTTTTGATCACACATCATGAACTATAAACAATCAGGTCAGATATGATTATTTGTTTGATTTTTATACTTGATTTATATGTGAATCTCACATTTCTCCCTTATTTTTTTATTTTACTTTTTAAAATAAAATGCTGAAGTGGTAGGTAGATGCAAGATAAAGGTAGAAAACATAATTTAGTGCTATAAGAGGGCAAATGTAGATGATCAGGTCTGTGCCTATAAACTAAGTATTAATCCAAGCTAGACAAGGGCAACAAAACATCCACGGATGCAGAAGATTTCTCTCAAAACGGGGGAGGGGTGAGGTTCTAGGCTTCACCTCTGTTGATCCCCAATTTCTCAGCTGATGGCCCCCCTGTGACTGTGCCTGTCCTAGGTTGCTCCTCCCCTAAGGAATCCCACCTGTCTCTGGCTAACCAGCCATCTTCCGGGGCCATACAGGGAAATGTAAAGTTGGTAAGTGAGAGAGAAGCAATATTCTTTTAAAAGGTTAGCTTTTTACCTCTTTGCAGATTTATGCCCTGTGGCTTCTATGCCCAGCATTTGTCTTGAGGTATCTTTACCAATTGGAAGAATTATGATATTTGGTAATTTTCAATACGAGGCAAGAATTCTACCAAAGGGCTGTAATTAGGAAGGAAGAAGAAAAGCTATAGAAGTAGCAGATGGAAGAAAACATGGGAAGATTGATTATTTCTTTGACACAACTTCCTGTAGAGTAACATAAGCATGTATCGGTTCCAACAAACCACCAATCAAATTGTGTACACACACCAACAGAACAGGAATACAGATACATAACAAAAGCAGACCCACAAATACCAGCCACATCCAGTGAAACCAAGAAACCCAGTCAGGTACCCCAGGCATCCATGAAAACTTATCAATACTATGATGGATATTGTCTAACTGAATTTTAATAGTTTGAGAAAAATCAGACAAATTAAAACAACACATTCCTGGGAACTGTTCACATCCCATATGTTCTTTTAACAGTAGATAGTCTATAGTCGCACGATTTTGGAGTGCTGCAACTTGCACTTCTCCTAATTCTTGGTTGAGTTCCAACAGTATAGATCCAGTCAAATTTGTTGTTTTACTATATGCACAGGGCAGCTTAGATATCTCCTTCTTCATTCCAATGGCAAGTCCAGGAACTGGTGGGATGAATGCAGCTACAACTGCAACAGCACCAGGATCTTTGTTGAAGTTTTTTGATGATCATCTTCTGGAATGACTCTTCCAGAGGATGTTGATGTTGGAAGTTCTTCTTCATATCGTATCTTATTTTGTTTTCTGGGTAGCCAAATTAGGCTTTGATCCTCTGTATAAACACAAACAAACCCTTTGCCCACACTTTGATATGACCTTTATACCATTGTGAAGAACCTATTGGAGACCACCACACAGGAACTGCTTTTTTTTTTTAAGAGAAATAAATATTGTCAGAAAAATGTACTTCCATAGCTGATTATCTGACACCCTTTAAAAGATGAAAACTAAGGATATGTAAAGGATGCATTAATCGTTGATTTGCAGTTAATTTTATCCTATCAGGGAGTAATCCCCTCCTTTTTTTGTTATCATTAATCTAGAATTACATGAAGAACATTATGTTTACTAGGCTCTCCCCTACACCAAGTCCACCCCCAGAAACCCCCTTATAGTCACTGTTCATCAGTATAGCAAAATGTTGTAGAATCACTACTTGTCTTCTCTGTGTTGCACAGCCCTCCCCTTTCCTCCACCCCCCACATTATACATGCTAATCATAATACCCCCTTTTTTCTTCCCAGCCCTTATCCCTCCCTACCCTCCCATTCTCCCCAGTCTCTTTCCATTTGGTAACTGTTAGTCCATTTTTGGGTTCTGTGATTCTGCCGCTGTTTTGTTCCTTCAGTTATTCCTTTGTTCCTATATTCCACAGATGAGTGAAATCATTTGGTATTTGTCTTTCTTTGCTTAGATTATTTCACTGAGCATAATACCCTCTAGCTCCATCCGTGATGTTGCAAATGGTAGGATGTGTTTTCCTCTTATGGCTGAATAATATTCCATTGTGTATATGTACCACATCTTCTTTATCCATTCATCTACTGATGGATACTTAGGTTGCTTCCAATTCTTGGCTATTGTAAATAGTGCTGCAATAAACATAGGGGTGCATCTGTCTTTTTCAAACTGAGTGCTGCATTCTTGGGGTAAATTCCTAGGAGTGGAATTCCTAGGTCAAATGGTAAGTCTATTTTGAGCATTTTGAGGAACCTCCATACTGCTTTCCACAGTGGTTGAACTAATTTACATTCCCACCAGCAATGTAGGAGAGTTCCCCTTTCTCCACAACCTCACCAACATTTGTTGTTGTTTTTGGATGTTGATAGCCATCCTTACTGGTGTGAGGTGATACCTCATTGTGGTTTTAATTTGCATTTCTCTGATAACTAGC